AAGACAGCAGTGGGCATCGGAGTCATGTTCTGTCAGCATTAGTTAGGAGACCATTTCTTACTGGGGCCTTGTGTTTGCTAGTCTTTCTACAGGAAACTCGGAAAAGGAAAAGCATGAAACTCTCTCCTTTCTCTCCACCACGGAGCGGGTGTGCCAGCCTGGCTGAGCCGCCCCAGAGCGGGCGGCAGCATCGCCGGCCCAGGCGGCTACTTGACCCGGGAAATCGGCTCACGTGGTGTGTTTCTCGGATGTACCAAGCGATGGATGGTCTCCAAGGAGCGTTCTCACCCACCTGCTTCTCCCGGCAGCTCGGGAGGGTAGGAGGCAATAAGCCAACATTTTTCCAGAGGAGACAACTGGCTCAGAGGAGCCCCAGGGATGAGCAGTGGGGGTGGAGGTGGGGAGACAGAGAGAGGCACGGGGGGGGGGGGTGCGGGAAAGAAGCTGAGGGAGGGAGAGAGACAGGGAGAGGGAGGGGAAACACTAGCCATTTTCCGAGTACTGGGCCATTGCTCTCTCCTCCCATCACCGTTTCCTTATCCATTTGCAAAGGGGAGGGGATGAATGGAGAGAGAGAGAGAGAGAGAGAGAGAGAGAGAGAGAGAGAGAGAGAGAGAGACTACGGGGAGGCAGGGAGGAAAGGAGGCCAGCGATGGCTACTATGAATGAGGGTGTCTAAGTAGAGAAGGTCCAGAGGCATGGAGGGACTCTAAACAGATCAGCTAGGAGGACCTCTGACCTCCGGGGCACCTTGGACGTCCTGCCAACCTGAGGAGCCCAGAGGCGCTGGCTAGAGAATTCCATGTGCTGACAGGAAAGGCACAGGCTGGGGAGTCTGGCAGAGTTGGTTAAATTCCGGGCAGAGCATGTTTGGCTGTGGTCCTCAGGCAAATTACTTCCTCTGTCTAAGTCTCATTTTCCCCAGTGCTCGGTGACAATAATAATAATTGCTTTCAGTCCGGCCAGTGTGGCTCAGTGGTGTAGCATCGCAGTGGCGCTGGCACGCACACACACACACACACACACACACACACACACACACAAACACATGCGCGCGCACACACGCGTGCACACACACGCGCACACACGGGTGCAGCGTTGGACACACAGTTGCACAGTGTTGGCTGTGCCCCGCCCGGTGCGAGGTCCCATGGAAGACACGCCCCTCCAAATAACAATGATCTCATCGGCCCTGGCCAGTGCTCTCAGCAGTTAGAGCGCCGGCTCCAGCTCCAAAGGGTCTCGGGTTCGATTCCCGGTCAAGGGCATGTACCTGGGTCAAGGGCCTCAGTTGGGGTGCGTGTGGGAGGCAGCCAATCGATGTGTCTTGCTCACATCAATGTTTCTCTCTCTCTCTTCTTCCCTCCTGCCCTCCCTCCCTCTCCCTTCTACTCTCTCTAAAAATCAATGGGAAAAATACCCTCAGGTGAGGATTAACAACAACAAAAAGGGTCTCATCACCACCCCAGCCACCAGAGGTCTTGTGTTACATACATGTGCACATACGTACGTAAGTACCCATGAACGTCTTTATCAGGATGACTTACGTATGACCTTTGGCGTGTTTACCTAACGAGACCCTGGACTGCTTAGGGTCAGACAGCCCGGTTTGCTTCTGAAGGACCCTTTATAGCCTCTTCTCTGCCTGCTATGGTGCTTGCAGCCCAGATTCAATAAACAGCTACTGAATTATTATCTTATTAATAATGCGAACGAGAGAGTGATTCTTTTTAAAAATATATATATGTTTATCAATTTCAGAGGGAAAGGGAGAGGGAGAGAGAGAGATGGAAACATCAATGATGAGAGAGAATCATTGATTGGCTGCCCCCTGCAGGTCCCCATACTGGGGATCGAGCCTGCAACCAGGCAGGTGACCTGGACCAGAATCGAACCAGGGACTCTTCAGTCCACAGGCTGACGCTCCATCCCCTGAGCCACACCAGCCAGGGCGGGAGAGTGTTTCTTACGGAGTATCCACTACGGGCCAAGGGTGGTATTTATATGTTAAATCTAATTTAATACTCAGAATCCTGTGACTTAGAAAACTGGGGCCCGAGGAGCTTAAGTAACTTGTCCAAGGATCCCTGCTGTCCAAGGTCATCCTGATGGTCAAGGTCACCCTGATGGTCAAGGTCACCCAGCAAGAAGGCTTCCCAACTGTTAACACAACAGCAGGACGGACTTTGAATCTAAAGCCAGATTTGTTAGACTCCAACCTGGTCCCCAAGTCACCACCATGGAAAAATGATGAAATTGAAAAAATACATTGCTTTCCAGGTTTATATACATGCGTTTACCAAGCATGAAACCAAACCTCAGCTTGTGGCAGCGAGAGGAGCAACGTTCCAAACTCAATCTGAAGGATTAGAGACGCGTCTGGGAAGTGAGAAGCTGTGTGCTATGAGGAACCTTTATCACTGCGGCCAGGACTGAGAGAGGAGGAGGGAGAGATGGAGGCACGCGCTGTGTGAGGAAACCACGCCTGCATGTGCTGACAGGAAAGGCACAGGCTGGGGAGTCTGGCGGAGTCGGTTAAATTCCGGGCAGCGCATGTTTGGCTGTGGTCCTCAGGCAAATTACTTCCTCTGTCTAAGTCTCATTTTCCCCGGTGCTCGGTGACAATAATAATAATTGCTTTCAGCCCGGCCAGTGTGGCTCAGTGGTGTAGCATCGACCTCTGAACCAGGAGGTCACGGTCTGATTCCCCATCAGGGCACATGGCCGGGATGCGGGTTCCATCCCCAGTGTGGGGCGTGCAGGAGGCAGCCGATCCATGATTCTCTCTCATCATGGATGTCTCTCTCTCTCTCTCTCTCTCTCTCTCTCTCTCCCTCTCCCTTCCTCTCTGCAATCAATAAAATATATTTAAAAGATAATAATTATTGCTGTCAGAGAGAACGCAAACACTGGATGGGTAGAAGGCAGAGAACTCAACCCAGGACAGCAGCGCTGCCATGACCATTCACAACAGCGTGTTCACGCGTGTGGCTGCCATGCCCGTCCCTGGACGGGCGTGGAGCTGCCTCGCTGGCCCAGCTTTGCACACTCCCACCGTCCTCGCCACAGAGCCGAGGGCAGCCGAGGCCAGCGGAGGCCAGCACCCAGTGAGCCTCCAAACCCAGCCGCCTCTGCACACTGACCCCCAGGCCTGCCTCCGGGGCCTAAAGAAACACGGCCAACATGTGGGCCAAGCTGGCGCCTCCCTGGATGCCGCCCCTCAGCGCCTCTGTCCCCTTCCGCACACAGGTAGACCTGACGGGTCTCGTGGGCACCACCCCCCACACCTGCTCTCTGCTTGCGGGCACCCCCAGTTCATGCCTGACCCTCAGGGTCCCCTGGAGGGGGCTCTGGAAGCGCATGCAGCTCTGGGGACCTGGACACCCCCTAACCCCCTCCCCCCGCACTGAGCAGGTACCAGTGATGCCAATGGACCCCCTTTCCCCTCCTCAGTCCCCCCAAGGGGCCAACAGTCAGACATCTTTGGGCCAATACCTTGGCGTCTCGAACTGGCCCCCGCCACCAGGGCCAAGCGGTTAGGCACAGCCTAAAACCAGCATAGCTCCGACCGAGGCTGAGCGCGGACATGACCGGTGACGGTGCAAGGGAACCGGTGTCGGGAAGGGCAGGCCTTTTCTCTAAAAAACGCACCAACCGCGAGCCGTGTCGCCTCAGAAAAACACGTGCTGGGACCCAGCGTCTGCAGGGACGGCCTCAAGGAAAACAGGTTTTTTCCTCGTCCAGCTTTTCCAATGGGGCCAGAGAACACCCGCATGGAGCTGGGCTGGGGTTCCGGGTGCGGACACAGGTCAGCGATGACAACGGAAACCAAGCAGGACATTCCCAGGGCGAGGGCCACCCGTTCCCACAGCACCGGCTGGGGCTGCGGGCGAGCTGGGCCCAGACAGTCACCCCCAGGGCTCCCGGAATGCCGTCTGGGCACTTTCCCCTATTCTGTAACTCACTAAATGATTCCCCCTAAAATCAAAGAAAACACAAATATCCAAACCGGATAGAACAGATGTTCTGAACATTCACGGCTGCGGTGGACAGACCCAGCCACTGACAACAGCACTGCCCGCCTCACTTTTAATTTCCTGTTTGTTATCTGTTATCTGTTAGGGAAGCGGGGGAGGGGGGACCACAGAAAGGGAACCTTCAATTCTCTCACAACATCACAGGAGCCACAGTGTGTTCTGAAGAAACACCACCAGTGCTCCTGCCAGGACCTGTGCGTCCTCTCCACACGTGTAAATATGCTTATTAATAGAACATACTGATTCTATTGCATTTGCATATCCATATAATCATTGCATGTGCATGCACATGCATGTCCGTATAGACACACACACACACACACACACACACACACACACACACTCAGAGTCCCTGAGCCCGAAAGGCCTTCTTGGCCAGCGAGGCTGTGGCCGGAAAGGGGCTCGCGGCCCGGGGAGCAGAGCGGAGCAGCCTGGGTGGATGCTGGGGCTGACAGCGCTGCTCCCGGAGAGCTCCCCGCTCAGCCCCTGCATCTGGGAGGTCTCTGCTCCCTTAGGGAGGGCTGCGCCCAGGTCAGCGGGGCCCAGGGGCACATTCTTGGATGGGGCAGGAGGTGGTGGAATGGGAGCAGGCGTCCCGACTGGGGCGACGGAGTCCCCTCCACACCCCAGCGGTGGATCCCCGGTCCCCGTCCAACCTGGGAGCCAGGCCGCTGCGCGATGAAGTCAAGATGCACCCCAATGCCCCCACCCCACCCCGACCCCCACCCAGCCCCTCTGACAGCCCTCAGCGCCCCTCCCGCACTGGCTGCAGACGCCGCAGGGGTGCGGGGTGGCGCGCGGGGGAGGTCAATGGGAGCTCCCTCCGCACCTATGGGGACGCCCTAGCGGTCCCCTGGGGGGTGGGGGTGCCCCTCGGACGCGCTGGGGAGGCCCAGGCTCGGCGGGGCCTCCTCCCGAAGGAAGGAAGGGTGCGGGGTGCGGGGCGCGGGCGGGCGGGCTTACCACGAGCGCGGGGACCCCGGCGGCCAGCGAGTAGAGGAGCGCGGGCGGCACGGCGCTGCTGTCCTCCGGGCCCGGGTAGGGCTTGCGGTAGGCGCTGTCGTGACAGAAGAAGCCCTGCACGTTCACGGCGAACGTGTCCGTGTACTCGAAGTAGTACGCCAGCATCACGGTGCCTGCCATGATCACCATCTGGAAGTAGAGCATGCTGCTGGCCGCTGCTCCGGCCGCCGCGGGCGGGCAGGCGGGCGGGCGCCGGGGAGGAGGCGCGCAGGCCGGGCTGCCGGGGCGGCGGCGGAGGGCGGCGGGGGCGGCTCCCCCGGACGGGCGCTCCCCTCCCGCCCCCTGCCCTCGGCAAGCGCCGCCCGCTGGGGCGCGGGGTCTCGCGGGAGGGCGGGGAGCCGGGGGCGCGGGAGCCTCTTGGTGCCGCGGAGCCGGTCAAGCCCCTCGGCCGGCGCGGAGGAGGCGGCGTCGGCGGGGCAGCGGCCGCGGCCGGGACAGCGGCACCTGCGCCCCTCGGAGGGCGCACGCGGAGGAGCAGGAGGAGCTCCTCGCGGGGGGCGAGGGGAACCCGGATGGGGGGCGGGGAGGCGGCAGCGAAGGAGCCGCTGGAAACTCCCTTCCGAGGCGCCGCTGGGCGGTTCGGGCAGCCACACGGCGCCGGGAGAGCGGGGCGCGCACGCGGCTGCGGAGCGCAAACGCCGCCAGAGCGCCCGGCCGCGGCGACTCCCAGCCCGCGCCCCCTCGGCCGGCTTCGCGGGGAGAAGCCTCCCGGGGCCTGGAGCTGCGGGTCGCCTCCCGCCGGCGCGGGGCTGGGCGGGCGGAAGCAGCGATCCCGCGCGCTGGCTCCCGCACAGCGGCCCCTGCCCGGCCCTGGCTTCCCCGCCTGCTCATCTTCCCTCTCCCGTCATTAGCTGCCTGTGAGACAAGCCATTGCAGATTCCGGGGACCCATGCGGGAGGGGGGGGGCAGCCGCTAAGGGGGGAAGGGCTGCTCCTTGAGTCCCTGATTCCCCAGGGTCAGGAGACCAGGCGGGCACACCGCATGCACACGGAACATGCACATGGAACATGCACACGGAACGTGCACATGGAGCGTGCACATGGAACATGCACACTGAGCATGCACATGGAGCGTGCACATGGAGCACGCACACGGAGCGTGCACAGGGAACATGCATAGGGAACATGTACACGGAACGCACACTGTGTGCGTGGACACGCATGTGCGTGGGCAGGGAAGTCATTGTGGAGCCCCACAGGTGTACAGAGCCTGCGTCCTGAGGCCATGTGGGGTGCCTGTCTTGCATGATAAGTTTAAGCAGTGCATTTGGGGGGAGGGGTCCCCAGAGCCTGACACTGCTCACAGGCCCCACTCCAGAGAGCAGGTAAGGAAGCGTGTGTAGGAGGCAAAGGGATGAAACAGTTCCTGTCCTTCTGAAAACGTGGCATTGCCTTCCGGGTTTCTGGAATGTTCCTTTTAATAGGTTGTAGCTCGATGATATTGGGAGGTGGGCCTTTGTCACGAGGGAAAGGCAACACTGTTCGCTTTAAGAGGCCATTGGCGTTTGGCAGGGGATGGGTGGTTTGGGGATGCTATTCTGATGGCGTGTGCACTCCTCCACACGGTTACAAACACCCTTTAGTAACGCATGACTGAGCGTTTACCAGGCAGGCGACACCAGGCAACATGGGTAGTAATAAGCCATCTGGGGCGGTGGGAGCCACCGGCCCCTGCATGGACCGTGTTCTGGTAACATTGGGCTACACAGATGGTATGACTACCACAAAGATACCTGGTTCACTGATCCATTCAGAAAACCACGGAGACTGTGAACGGCTCCTGTCCTACACAGAACTCCCCCAAAGCTTCCCACCTGATGGCACTTCCGGAAGAGCGGTGCTCAGTTTTAAGTTCGCACTTTTACCTCTGGGTTAGGGAGAGTCTCCTGCAGGCCATGTATTCTCCCATAACTTCCTAAATGAAAACGCATTGCGAGACTCTTAAGGAGTGTTGAGTGCCCAGCACAGTCCCCATACCATAGCAGGGCCCCTGTCTGTCATGGCCCTGCTCTGCCCCCAGGGGGAGCACCCTTTGCACGCTGTAGGTATTCAAGAAGGAGCCCTTGAATAAATCAATGAACTTACTCCTCTAAGAACAGCAGGGAGGTGTTCTCACATAGAAAATTTATGTCCATGGTTAGGGGATCCCGATCTTTCTGTCCCCAGGTAAGCTCAGCTCGCACACTCACACGGCACACTGACGCTGAAGGCACAGGGTCGGTGTGAGAGCAACGCTGGGACTGCCTGTTCACACCCATCCCTGCCCCTTTACCAGCCGTGCAAACCTGGGCAAGACACTCGACCTCGTTCTGCTTGAGTTCATCCCTTTGCAAAGGCAATATGAGGATTAATCACACTCAATTAATTATGTCTGGCACATGTGAACTCCTTTACTGCGTTTCAATTAAATGAGATGTAACTTCCAGACATAAACGTACCTGTCCCACCTTAACCCAGGGCATTCTAGCATCCCCCCCCAGACACTTCCTTCTCGTTTGATTGCTTACAAAGTGATGCTGGGAGTACCCATGCTTTTGTAGGCGGGTACATTGTCCTATAGATTTGTGTACATTCTGTCTTCTCTTTCGAATGCTACCCAACACAGGAATAAGATATTATTTTCCTTCAGAATTCTCAATTTCCCCATCATTAGTTCATATTAGGTGGCCAAATAGAGTTGTTGGGAGATTCATGGCAGACTAGCGATCCATTGCTGAAATGGAAGTTAATACTGAAACATCGCTGTGAGAGAGAAACATGGATCACTGGTCTCCCATACACACCCCAACTGGAAATTGAACCCACAGCCCAGATAGGTGCCCGGCCAGGAATTGAACCTGCAACCTTTTGGTGCCCAGGATGATGCTCCAAGCCACCGAGTCGCCAGCCAGGGCTGACCTCTCGCTGTGACATCTGGCACACGCTCCCTCACAGAATGGTCTCCGGAGGGTGGTGTGGGAGGTAGTTGTGTTCTCGAGCACACGGGGAGAAACACAGGGGGCGGAGGAATCTGTCTGTCTGTCTTGGGGTGCTGCTGTGAGGGGACGTTTACCTCCAAGGCCAGCGGCTTCGGACCTGGACAAGTGGCACTCTGCTTCAGCTAGCACACCCATCGGAACAGTTATCACAGAGCACACGTTCTATCAGAGGCCCTCCTTACTAGTACACGCAGTTCCCTGAAGGTCTAGGCATGGCATTGCTGGACTAAGCAAAATGCCCACATTTATGAAAATATTAAGCCTGGGCCCAGCCCATGTGGATCAGTGGTCGAGCATCAACACATAAACCAGGAGGTCACAGTTCGATTCCCCGTCACCACGACGTAGTACGGAGCCCAGGCCATCGCGACAACAAGCGTTGCTCTCGAGCGCCCTCGTCTATTCACCTGCTACCGCTGGGGCAGCCACACCTCCTATTTTTTTTCTTTGAAATTTTTTAAACATTCTATTTTTATTGATTTCAGAGAGGAATGGAGAGGGAGAGAGACATAGAAACAAAAATAATGATAGAGAATCATTGATCGGCTGCCTCCTACACGCTCCCTCCTGGGGATCAAACCTGCAACCTGGGCCTGTGCCCTCACGGGGAATCGAACGGTGACCTCCTGGTTCATGGGTCGACGCTCAACCACGGAGCCACGCCGGCCAGGCAGCAACCACTTCCTTGATCCCTTTGGAAATTGCCGGCCTACATCCCGCTGCCCTGGCTTCGTAGCTTCTTGGTCCCCGGGCTACCTGGAAGGCATCCTGTCGTGCTATGATAGATGAGGACCATCCCAACCAGAACCATGGACCTTGCAAATGCATCACCAGTGGCAGGAACTCACGGGGCGAACCTGCTGATGGCGGCTGAGGGCCTTCGTCAATGGTGCAGACTGTGACTGCCACTGGGCATCGGCTGGGCTGCCCTTCACTGAACGAAGTCATGACGGAGACAGAGCTACTAGTATAGAGGGAGCCAGACACTCAGAACGGCTCCTCCTGGCCACCGATGGGCCATTTTCAACTTCAGGCTGGAGTCGGGCGACCTTTAAAGGGCTCATTTTTAGTGAGGGCTTGAGTGCCCTGCCCCGGATGTCATCATCCTTAAATGTATTATTAGGTTACTGAGCACTTTTTTCCCGAAAAGATCACAACAATAAGCAAGAAAAGTGATTTCTGGTCAAGGAGAGGAAATAACGCCCCACTGGCTGAGTTGGAAGAGGCTCAGTAGAGGAACAGGTTCCCCTGAAATACAATTCTTTGCGTATGGTGCCACTTGGGAAGGAATTCGGGGCAGGGAAACAAGACATTGCTGATGGTTTTTTTGACTCTTCTGATTGTCCCTGCTTGTTACTAGACAAGGTTCAACGAATCACATCTCACTGTGTTCATCCTGTCCTTATAATGAATGCGTCCATGTGTGATGATGCCCTCAGTGTATTGTAATGGGTAAGAATAAAATACTTCAGTTTGCTTTCCCCGCACCCAGTGACTTGCTGTGATATTTTTTTGCCGCTTACATAGACAGATAGGTCTCCCATAAAAATAGAACACGGGGAGTAAAACCTTAATGAACTGCACAGAAGTCTCATAAACGAAAAGGGTGTCCTGGGAAGCGCTGTTCTTATTCATAGAAACCCTCCACGTGTTCTGCCAGGACGATCCCCTTAGTCACCGCGTGCTGAGGCGGCTCCATTTGTCTTCTGTGATCTGACAGGAGTCATGTGGAAGCTCAGCTCTTACTGCTCACTCCTGCAGTGACACGATGCAGGAGGCCGAGTTTTGTGGTTATGGAAGGATACACTCTGGACGTTTTGTGGGGGAAAATGCCTAAAATAGGTGTTTGTTTTCTTGAAACAACGGTATTTATTGAGTGACTACTATACACCAGAAACAGGCGTGTGTCTCACTCAAGTATCTCTGACCCTCACGACTACCCCAGTGTCTGAGAGAGGTGTCACGCCCTCAGACCTGGTTTGAGTGTCTGCCACCAGGCAGCCTGTGGGAGCCCCCACTAACCCTCGTCCACTTACTCCAGGCTTTCGGGGTGTGGAGTCCAGGGTGAATGACGCGGGTTTTAATTGGATGCCTGCTTAGAAAGAACATATACAACTCATCCCAACAAAATAATCGATTCAACGAAAACTGGGCAGAAGACCTGTGTAGACACTTCTCCAAAAAGGACACACAGGTGGCCAACGGACACATGAAAAGATGCTCAGTGTCACTGATCACCAGAGAGACGCAAATGAGAACCACAAGGAGGTACCACCTCACGCCTGTTGGAACGGCTCCCGTCAATAATCCACAGACAAGTGCGGACGAGGGTGTGGAGAAAAGGGGACCCTCGTGCGCTGCTGGTGGGGATGCAGACTGTGCAGCCGCTGTGGGAGACAGTATGGAGTTTCCTCAGACTCTATTATCCTTCCCTGTTCTCTATTTCTAAAACGTTCTATAGAAAAAAATATCATATTCCTAATGGAAAAACAAAACAGAACAAAAGTGATACCACCGAGAAGGCCATAATCCAGGTCTACACTGACACATAAACCAAGATGATTGTACCCCAAATGGCAATAAACCGTGTTCCACAGAGGAACCCGCCTATGCAAGGCCCATTCCTGGCAGCCCGGTCACAGCTACACAACCGGCTGAGTGAGCGGAACCTGGAATATGTGTGGATTTTCCCAAGGGGAAGCATTTTGGCAGGAATTTCCAAATCTCAAAGTTTTGGGCGGAAATGGAGGCAGGTGCGAGGCAGGTGCGGTTGGGAAGATGGGCTTGGCCAGGACAGGGGATCACTGGGAGGAGTGGAGATTACTGTGGACTGGGAGACCGAATCCAGATGGTA